GCCCAGCTTGGCCTCAGCCACAATTCTCAGGCTGTGGGATAATCCCTTTCAGCGACCTTGTACCCACACGAAGTCCAGCTGTCCAGCTGCTCCGGAAAAACCAGGCGCTCTGACAAGCGCTGGGCCACAGCCAGGCCAGCGCTGGAGCGGCCCCTCTAATCCTGCCACGGAGCCCACAGCCGCCTGCTGTGGTCCTTAATTCACCTGCTGAGCCCTGAAACCGCTTGCACTTGGGCCTCAGCCTTAATCTCTGGTGGGGGAGGATGGGGACTCTGGGAGAGTTCCATGACAGACCCGTGAGTCAGCAGTAGTGACAGCTCACCTCTGGGTGCCTAAACCCGCGAGTGGCTTCAATGAAAGATGAGGACATAGGAATCAAAAAGAGGAGGAGGATGTGAGAGATTGAAAGAGGGGAAGAAAGAAAAGATGGGGAGGGAGAGAGATGGGTGTCGCTGAAGGCTGTTGGCCTGAGTCAGTGCTGGCTCAGACATGGTGCCCAGTGCCACCGGGAAGAGGTTGGCATGGCAGCCGCCTTTGTCCCTGGGGCTCCTGCTCCCCGGGGCCAGCACTCAGCAGGAAGGCTGGCTGCTGAGAGTCCCTTCACCCAGGCCCAGGAGATCTGCGCTGCTGCCTCCCCTGGTGGCCCAGAGGCCACGTGGGTACAGGCTTCTATCTTCTAGCCCCAGAGGGAGCCCCAAGAGGAGGGCTGGGGTGCTGGGGTCCACAATGCCAGGGGCACCCTACACAGTGCAGGTGACAGCTGAAGATTCTTCCTGCCACACACCTGCAACTATCCTGGGGCAGACAGAGACCCCTTCCCGTGTGCCTTGCATGTTCCTTGCGTCATGGTAACCCCGTGACCTGAGCACTGTGGTGCCCCCTTCTGCTTCTGCTGCTGCTGAAACTCAGCACCCACGATGCCCTTCCTGGGGCCTTGCGTCACACCTGCACAGAGCCTGTCCCTTCCTCAGAGCGCACCTGGCTGTCGAGGGCACTGCCTGTGCCGTTCCCCTCTGCCTGGATACCTGTGCTTCTCTCACTGTCACCTCATCAGTATCCCCAGCTCCATCCTCTGCACACCCTCCCACAGCCCCTGGGCACCCTCCGTCACAACAGCAATCACCAAGTAGCCAAAGGACAGGATCATGTGTACCCACCATGCCCAGGCCAGAGAAGAAGGCAGATGAGGTGTGGATGGATGGACGAACATGCACGGGTAACTTTGCCAAGCAGTTAGAAGCGCCAAGTCCTGTGCTGAGTGCTGTCCAGGCAACCTCCTCCCTCGCTGCTCGCAGAAGCCTTATGGGGAAGACACTGTCGCTGTCGTGAGCCCTGCTGTTTTACAATACGGAAACAGGTAACGAGGTAATAACAACCACTGAGCACCCAGCAGTCCGCCTCTGGAGGCAGTACCCCTGCACTCTCCCTGATGGACCCACTGCAGGGGCCCCGCCTCCCATGGCTCTGAGACTTGCATGGGGCGGAAGCTGGGCAGCACTTGCCCTCTGGGGGAAAGAAGGTGGGAATTCCACTCTCCTCTGCACCATTCAGATGTCCTGGTCCTCGCATCTGCTCAGCCCAGTCCAGGAGGAGAATGATGTGGGCATTTGGGGCAAAGACAGGAAGACACAGCAAGACCCGCTAGGTTCTGGCCACCTGGGCCTTGACCTTTGAAAGGAAGGGTTTGGGCAACCTCTTAACTAAATCCAACCCCACTCTATTATGACCCGTCCCTGAAGATACCCCAACACCTGACCAGTAAAGGCTAACTCAGCTGCACTCACAGGGAGCGCCCTACCCTGCAACTCCACAAGATCACAGCAATGTGAGAATCTACCTCCCAGGAGCGGAAAGAGTCCACTTCCAGGAGAAACCAACAGGCCATGGGTGGCCCTTTCCGCCTTGGTCAGGGTACCCACACTCCACCTTCCTCCACAGAACCCCACCTGGGGGCTCCTTCCTGCCCCTGGACCCAGGGCTCCATGCTGTCAACTTTGGCAAGGCCCCTGCCTGTGTTTCTTGGCCCCCAGCCCCTGGTGAAGAAGAGCAAGAAGATTTTGCTTTCCTTTGGAAAAGCAGAGAGGTGGCTCTGTTTACCCACAGACCCATTGGGAAGGGGTGACCAGAGGACCTGGCTGGCCTGGTTCCCAGGATCACAGTCACCTCTCACAATGCCAGGGTGGAAGTGCTCCTGGACACCTCTCCTACACCCCGAGTTGGGGGAGCAGGAAGGACACCTGAGAGCAGCCTGGCCGGGGGGGGGGGGGGGGGGGGGGGGGGGGACGGGGACGACACGTGGCTGCTGTTGAGAGGCCAGCATGCTGGGAGCCGCACAGCCTGTGGCTGGTGGGGAAAGAGAACCGTCTCAGTCATCCAGAGGACGCACTGGCTTGGAGCCGCTCTCCCAGAGCGCGTGTCCTTAGCTTCTGAGCAAGGTCAGGCAAGCTGTGTGTGTGTCTGCCGCTCTTGCACAGGCGTGCACTCATGCTCATGTGCTCGCGTGTGTGCAGATGTGTCCATGCGGAGAGGAGGACATTTTAAAGAGAATCCTAATAATACTGTTCCCCAAGAAAGGGAGCAACAATGACGCAGCTCGGCAGCCGGCCTCTTCAGCTGGGAGACCCACAGGAGCCTGAGGTGGGTGGGCACAGGTGATGGCAGACACCAGGTTTTCATTCATCAGTGAGCCCCTCTGACTCCTTGGTGCACATGGCTGTACCAGACCCAGAGAGGGGGAGGCAGGTGGGTTCCTAGGGTCCAGTGACAAAATAAGGCCCTTGAACACTCTGGGCAGGCCGCCTTCTGCATCCCTGCATCTCAGCCCTGAACAGGGCTCCAGGAGGCTGGGCAGGGACTGCGGGGCTCTGGGTCCCATGAAGGGACTGCATTCCTTGGCAGGCACAGGGAACTTTGGTTACATTCATCTGTCCCTTCATCAGTGAACACCTACTATGTGCACCAACCAGTTGGTCACAGTGTGAGCGCAGCATGAACTGGTTAGACCAAAATGCCAGCGCTCGCTCGTGAAGGCTGCGATCCTGCAGGGGAGGAGTGGGGAGTACAGACGGTCAATAAGAGCAGGACACAGCCTGCTGGGTAGCGATCAATGCTTTGCTCTGGACAAAAATAAAGCAGGCCGGAGAAGAGGGAGCGAGGGCGGGGTATGGGGTGTGGTTTTAAACAGAGGGGCCAGTAAAGGTGTCCATGAGAGGGTGGTGTTTACAGAAACCCCTAAGGAGGTGAGGGAGTGGGGCTTGCAGTATTGAGGGGAGGAGCCTTCTAAGCCAAGAAGCAGCTAGTGCAAAGGCCCTGGGGTGTGAGTGCCAGGCAAGGTTGAGGAACCACAAGGTGATGGTGGCTAGAGGGAAATGAGGTTGGAGAGGCAAAGGGGTCACACCGTGTAGGGCCTTGAGGCCACTGTAGGGCACCGACGCAGGTCTGGGGGACCTGCAGCTTATGGACTTTATGGGACCATCCTTAAGGAAAAAATTAATCAGAATTGCAAATACAAAAGGCAATTGGGGCCTTGGGAAGGGCTATGCAGGAGAGGGACACAGGCTTTGCCTCTGGCTGCGGGGAGAACTGGGGCCTTTGCCTGGTACGACGGGGACACGGAGGGGAGCTTTGAGTGAAGTGACCAGACCTTTTAACAGGCTTCCTCTAGTTGCCAACTGGCTGATGAGCTGGGGGGATGGAATGGTCAGGAAAGAAAGCCAGACGCCAGTGACCAACACGACGGATGAACACGGATCATTCTGAAAGTGGATCTGACAATATCTGCTGGTGGGAGACGCACGAGGAAGGAGCAGGGTTGACCTCCCCCACTACCCCCATGATTCAGGCCTAAACGAGTTAGCGCCAGTCCAGGTGGGAAGCAGAGTGTCCTTGTCAGTGGCCATCCTGATCTGCACCACCCCCACCAGGCAGAGTTTTCATGAAACCAACTCTGCAAAGAAACCCAAACTCAGAAAGGTAGAGTCACTTACCTAAAGTCACACAGCTGGTATGTAACCCAGGTCTTACCAACTCCAAAACTGCTATCTGTTCGGATACCCCCAGGACAAGCAAGGTTGGGGGATCCTAGTAGCTTGTCAGATGCGAAAAGTTCCTGGAGGTGAGGAGGGCCTCTTCCAGCAACCACAGGGGCCTCTGGGATATTACCACACCTGGCCCCTAGGAACTTACAAAGAAAATCCTCAGCACTCCACCCCCACCCCCTCGACTCCTTCCTAAACCTGTTTCTGACCCACTGGTGAGGAGATCTCAGCTGCAATCTTGAAGAAATGTTTCTGGCATCTCTCGAATTTTCTTAATTTGCTGACAAGGTAATGATTGCTTTGCTCCATTACAAACGTTTTCTAAAGGAGTTTCCACATTAGAATGCAAAGCAGGCTTCTCTGGCTTGGAGAAAACCTGAGATTTAATCTTCTACTACATTTAGCCCCTAAATACAATTCATTGCATTTAAACTGATAGGAATTGATGGTCCCAGATGCGTCTTCTCAACAGCTTTAGTAACCAAATGAGTCCCCCACTGTCTTAGTAATCCACAGGGCTTGGGTTGATATTTTTATTATTATCATTATGGATTTGAAAAGCCTCAGCCCATCATTTGGGGCGTCCAATCCTACTGTCGTCCACCTTGCCTGGCTCACCACCTTCTGTGGCTTCTCCTTGCTTGGAACTTAGGAGAGATGACACATCCGTGGGAGCCCAGGGGATGGTGACCCTTTCACCATCTTGACCTTTGTTCTTTGTGACACCCCAACAGAACCTGGGAAGCCAAGCTAAAGGATCTTTGTCCTCTCCAGCCCTCCCCAGCCCCCTTCTCCTGACAGAAACTGCCAACAGGAGCAGATATTTGATCCGTCTCAGAAGCTGTGATCTCATGGCGCCCAGATGTTCCACTCACTGGACTAAAGGCTCCTGTTACGGGTAATCAGGGGCCCTGGATCCCCTAGAGACCCCACGCCTACCCCATCCTCCCACCCCCCAGACAATGAGAATTCCCTGCCCACATGGCCAACTGACACGGAGTAAGTGGACCCACTCAGCCGCAGGGGGCTCACGGAAATGACCCCTTGGAGTCTTCATATCAGGGCCTAAGAAGGCAGGTACGCTCAAAGCCCTCTAGAGCCATTTGGGCTGAACGATGCCTCCCCCCAAATTCTCAAATGCCTGTATCTCCTTGTTCTGTCTCATCAAGAGTTTAGAAAGTATGGAAGGAGCTCGGAAACATTCCGCAAGCCAAAGAGAACAAATGTTCACCAACGGGACTGAGCGTGCCCGCTCGCCCCCCAGATCAACTGTGGCTACACTTGACTAGTGAGAGGGTAAGTGGGAGGTGACAAACTCAGTGTTTAAAACAAACAAAAAACATTTTTTTTCTGCAATTAGCATGAGGTCAGACCCAAGAGACAATGCTATTAAGGAGGGTTGGTGAATAAGGGCACATCAGATACCACAAAGTCGTCACACTTTCTTTTCTGAAAGATTCTCTGTATCCCCAAGAATGGGTAGAAACAGCGCTTCTAACTCTGCAAAATGTGCTACCACAGAATATTAGTCACTACAGGAAATTAGACCCCCAGACCAAAAGCAGGTTTGTGGCGCACGGTGGGCTTGACCCACACTGACTAAGGCGCTCTTCAGCAGGACAGTGAGAACTGCTGGCCTCCTGACAGTGGCGGTCACAGAGGAGAGGCCAGAAAACAGCATGGAGAAGGATCAGTGCCTGGCAGACATCCTCCTCCTGCAAAGGGTGCCCAGAGGCAGAGACCGGGTTCCCATTTCCAGGGCAGAAATGGCCGGAGAGATCATCCAGTCCAACCCCTCACTTTACAGACAGAGCCGCTGAAGCCTGGAGAGGACAAGGTCACGGTTCAGTCAGTTGGGATACAACAGGGGGGTCACCCGAGTGCTGGCTTCTCCCCTCACCATGAAACCACCTCCCACCTTAGATGGTCGGAGCTCAAAGGAGCCTCCTCCAAGATCACCCAACATCTTCAGCTAGCCCATGAGGACAGTGGAGGTCCCAGAATTCCCCACAGCATAAGAACAGGACAAGCCACCTTTCACATGGCTCCCCACCCTTGGACATGCCAAGAAACCTCATCTTCCAAGAGCAGGGCTTTCCAAACTTTGTATTCTTAGCAACAGAACCTTAAGCAAGACCTGGAACTGCAGAACCTGCCTGAGCGGGCTGCCCTGGGCTTCCCCTCCACACCCAAGACCCCCAGCCCCCTTCCGCTGGGCCCTTTTTGGGGAGCTCAGTTTGAAGCCCCAGGCCTCTGGGGGCCTTGGAGCCCGGAGCTAAGGCAGCCGGAAAGCAGGGGCTCTTCCTTAAGACCCCTGGAGGGCGTGGCTGGGCTCTGACACCTGGACCACCTCGTTTTCCACCAGGGCCTGGCCCCCGTCGCCATTGAGCTGTCTCATGCGCAGGTTGATGGAGCCGTAAGTCTTCCGGGAGCCCCTGCCGGGGACCAGGGCCCGCCGGCGGTACAGCTCGCCCTTGCACAGGGAGACCATGAGCAGCGCGGAGAGCAGCATGCCGCCCACCGTGAGCAGCCCCAGGCCCGCGATGATGCACTTGTCCAGGTGGGAGCCCAGGCGGGCGTAGTACATCTCCAGCCGCTCCATCTCCCTCGCCGTCACCGTGTCCGGGTTGACGCGGGCCTCGCGGGGGATGGCGTAGGCTGTCACCACTAGGAGGATCCCAGTCACCAGGAAAACCAGGGCCGAAACGAAGCCATAATCCACAGGGCGGCTCACGGGCTCCAGGCCCGGCCCCTCCTCTGAACGCAGGGACACGTCGTCCCGCTGGGACCGGGGCAGTGAGGGGACGCCCCCCAGAGGACTGGGGGAGCTGTCCGGTCTGGCATCCCTGGGGTTTTGGAAACTGGTCTCATGCTCCTCCAAGGAGAAGCCGGCATTGTCCACGCCTGCCCTGGATGGGGCCGTTGGGCCCAGGGGAGCTGGTCTCCTTGGGACCTGGGGACCATTGCTCAGTGTCTTCAGTTCCAGACCAGGGGGAGATGCCATTGGGAAGGAGGGCCCCAGCTCATCCCTCGGCCCCTTGGCAGCTAGAAGAGAAAACAGAAAGTCAGCTGAATTTAACCAATCTCTACCAAGTCCCTGCCTGTGCCACGTTGACCTCTGGGCACAGCACCCCTCCCCCACTGGGGGAGCTCACCACACCAAAGAGGATGGGGGAATGGGACAATGACAGAGCAGTGTGATCCACGCTAGGGTTCCGCTCCATCACTGGCTGGTGGGAAATTCACTTAGGCTCTCTGGGCCTCAGTTTCCCCACCTATAAAATAACAATACTACCACTTCCTCCTACTTCACAGGGCTTAAACAGGGATTGAGACAACCCATATAAAGCACTCAGTAGAGTAAGTGCGTGCCCAGTAAGCATGAGTGATGAGCCATTACCATGATGGAGAAATTCAGACTGAGTGGCTATCAGGTTCAAATCCCAGCTTCACCACTTGAGCTTAGACATGTGATGCAAGCTCCTCTGCAGACTCACTGTTCTCACCTGTAAAATGGGAATAAACAAATGCTCCCCCCCCCAATGGTGGTTGTGAGGCTTTCATCAAATAATGCACACAAGGGCTGGGGCTGGGGCTCAGCGGCAGAGCGCTTGCCTGGTACATGTGAGGCACTGGGTTCGATCCTCAGCACCATATGAAAATAAATAAATAAAATAAAGACCATGTATAACTCAAAAAAAAAAGTTTTAAAAATAATGCACACGAGGCCTTGGCCACTTGAAGAAGTGGGCGCTGTTGTGTGTTAGGGAGAGGATGGGAGTGGGGGCGGGGGTCTTGGTGGAGACCAAGAGAGAAAGGAGGGGATGCTTCCAGGAGTTAGTGGCATTTGAAAGCCAGATTCCGAGGAAGAAAGGGAAATTCTGCATCAATGAGGAGGGTGAGGACATTCTGGAAGAGAGAAGGGTGCCTTGGAGGTCAGCGGGAGCTAGTTCATGGAAGACTCTGAAAACCAGGTCAAGGAGCCAGGGAGAAATAGGCAGGCAGGTACTGGAGCAGGGCGTGCTGGGTTGTGCAGGGGTCCAGGGCAGATGGTCCAGAAGGTAACAGCATCCAGCAAGAAAGCCAACAGGTGGGGACTGGCTGGGGGGGCAAAGTGGGGCGGACTTGAAAGCCACTACTGAAGTCAAAGTCAAATGCCTCAGGGGAGGCCTGGACAGGAGGGTTGGGAGAGGGAGGTGAGAAGGGGGTACTCTCTGGGCTGCAAAGAGGAGACACTCCACCAAGGACCTGAACACCACCATACAGATAGACACACAGAACATGTGCATTCCCATCCCGGGATACCCAGGGCCATATTTGGCTCCCAAAAGTTCTGCTCTGCTTTGTTTCTGGTCTTTTCATTTGTTTTTGGTGCATTTGTTGCCAATACACAAAAAAGCAAAAGGTTGACATTTTAAACTTTGGATTACTGGCTTCTCTTGCAAAATGGAAGAATCTGGGCATCTCAGGTCTCCATCCCCTCCCAACTCTCTGCTTGACTTGGTAATGGGGTCCTCTCTTAGGCACAGCAAGTGTCTCTCCCGCAGCTTCCACCTCAGTCCCCTTCCTTGGCTGTCATGTGTCCTTCCTGATCCCACAGGAGAATCATGCTCTTCTATTTACAAGCTGATAACCTGAGGGTACATGCACCCAGGGGGCCGGGCACACAATCCCCACAAGGCACAGAGACCCCCGATGCAAAGCAGCTCCAATGCATCTACATACACTCATAAACACTGTTCTCTGCATTCGTAGGCTATGTTTATTCTCTGATGCCCTGCGGTTCTGCATGTGTGGAGTGTGTTTTTGAATATGAGCAAATGAATGAAATAAGAATGAATGAAATGAACAGATGGATGAATAAAACTCCAAGGGTCCAGCACAAAAGGGACATTTTTCAATCTCTCTGACCTTCCTTCCAATATGGACTTACCACAGACATCTCCCTTTAGCACATACAGGGCCTTTCATCTGAGTACAAATCCTCTTTCTACTCACAACCCATTCTATACTACATTCCTCTTTCTAGAATTCCAATATTTATAAACTCTTACTGAGCCTCCACTACCTGTTGGGCCCTGTACCGGACACTTCACTTACAAGTATCACCCATAACCTTCTCCAGCCCTGGATCAGGAATCACTATCTCCAACTTATAAAACAAGGCCTAGATTCCATCCCATGTACGTGAGGGATCAGGAATTGAATGCAGGTTTCCTAAGAATTATCATCCCCCATAAACCTTCAAAGCCACTCACTCCTAGGCAGGTGGTGACACCCTCCACTACTATCCTGGCTCTTCCAGCAGGAACACACAGACCCTCCACTTGGTCCAACCGTCTAACAGCCACCATGAGCATCCAGAGGACAGTGATACGTCTGAATTTCACCTGGGTCCCCAGATGCCCACCCAGTCACTTCCCAGGGAATAGACAGGACAGAAGCGCTGGTTGGCTTGTTACTTAACACCAAAAGCCACAAATGGCCCCCAGAAGGTGCTACTTGGTCTTCAAATGTGATACCCACTCACCAGGCCATCAGCACCTTCAACAGAACTGTGTCCCAAATGGACACATGATGACTCCATGTCCCAGAGGAAATCTGAAGCACCCAAATTCTTGGTAAGGGACTCTCCTTCACCCACCAGGAAACCCAAAACTTATTCCTTAGGATGCCCAGTGTGGGGGCAGAGAAAAAAGACCCACCCCCAGCATCAGAATGTCACTGTTTCTCAATCAAGGGTTCAGAAGCCCACAAGGCCATGCACAATGACCCAAACATAAGCACAGACACAAATATTGTACCCACCGATTGTACCCCAGAACCAGGCCAGTTACTCCAATTTCATCTGAAGTTGGACAGGTCCTGAAAGACACACCCCAGTTCCATATTCAATCCCCTGGGGGTGGTTCCCACAGCAGTCCCACAGACCCAGTAAGAGCAGTGTGACCCATAGATCCATAGGTCACTCTGGTACCCCGGAGGGGGAAGAACTGGTATTAGAAAGATAGAAAAGACAGAAAAGAAATGGAGAGTAGGGCTGCTGAGATTCAAGCCTGATGCGCCAAGACCTGCCTGGGCCCAGCACCCCACCCATGGCGCACACTGACACCCAGGGAGACCGACGCACAGCGAGGATGGGTGAAGCTCCACAACACCCAATCGATAGTCACACGCATGAGTTGTACACAAAGCCTCGGGGCGCGCAGACACGCACACGCAGTCCACGCTGTTATACCCAAAGTTCCGCGCACGAAGCCCGGCAGCTGGGCGACCACCGCGCCCGCGCGCCCGCCACCCGCAGCTCACACCCCCTGCTCCTGCCCTTGACCGCGAACGCCGCGGGCGGGCCAGGCCAGACCCTGCCGGGCAGCGCCCGCAGCAGGGCGGCCGGGGAGGCCGGGCTGCACCGGCGCTGGCGTGCCCGGGTCCCCTCGCCGCGTGTCCTTCGGCGGGCCGCGAGGTCAGGCTCGCTGTCCTTCGCCGACACGCGCCGGCCCCGGCCTCAGCCTCCGGCCGCCCCCGCAGCCCCCCTCGGCGTGTGTACCTGTGCCCGGCCTCCCCTGCCTCCCCGCGCGGAAGCGAAGGGTGCCGGGAGGCCGGCGGGCGAGGTGCGTCCTCCCCGGCGCCTCCCCGCCTTCCCGCGACCGGAGCCGCCCGCCAGCCCGCCGGCCGGGGGCTCGGCTGCAGCGCAGCCCGGGAGCGCGCGGGCCTGGCCGCCGCCGCCCGGTCCTCCCCGGCTCCCGCCCCCTTCCCTCCCGGCCCGAGCCCCCGGCGAGGAGCACGTACCTGCTCGCGCCGCGCGGGGCTACACCGCGGCGGTGGCGACCGCTGGGGCGGGGTGGCGGGGTCCGGGGAGGTAGCGACAGGGAAGGGGCGGGAGCCGGGATTCTCCGGCGCCGCGGATCGAGCTCCGCCCTTGGCCGGCGAGGGCGCCCGGAGAGTTAGCACGGGGAGGGACCGGGAGACCGGTGGGGGACCGGGGCGAAGGCGGGGGGGTGCCAGCCCATCCTCCTCCCCTCCCCTTAGGGCACCTCTGTACCGCCAGCGCCTGGGCTGCGGGAACCCGAGCCGGAGTCCCCGGTCCCAGGGCTCGGGGGCGGGGCGGGGGGAGGGGCTGGAGAAGACCCCTCCCCCGCCGCTGGGGAGCCCCCACTGCACCAAAGCCAGGAGCGACCCCCGCACCCTCCAACACCCGGCCCCAGGTAGGACCCAGGGTCCCCTCTGAGGTCTGCAGGTCGGTAGTCTCCTCGGGCGCGAGAGGCTCGGCGGCTCAAAGGCGCCACCTAGAGGCTGAAAGGAAGCCCTGGCGAGGCCTCCCAGCCTTCTTTCTCCGTGGGACCACGTAGTGCGCTGCCCAAGAGGGATGGGCTCCTGGGACACTGCTAAAGGCTGCGCACACCCTCTCGCTCCAAGGCCCAGCTGCAGCGCCTCCCCCTCTGGGAAGGCTACCTGGCTGCTTCACACACAGCCTGTCCCCGGGGGCCCTCCATCTGATCTCTCCCCCTGCCTGCCGGAGAACTCTGATCTCTGACCGGCGTGATTTTCTAGTTAAGGGCAGCCGCCTCCATCAGATTGACAACTCCTGCAGAGCAGGGTCCAATCCTGAGCCCCCAGAACCCGGTGTGCGGGTGAAGTGCACAGCTAAGGAGGGAGTGACTTCCTCAGCTTCTGTCCTTTACTGAGCCCAGACTTATTAAGATGGGCTGAGTGAAGTTCTCCTCCACAAAACTCAAGAAGGCACTTCCTCTGGGGGCTTCTCTGAGCCTCAAGTGCTCACCACTGTCCATGGGCATCATGACCATGCAGGCTCCTGGGGCTCTGGAGGACTGCAAATGAGGACCCCTTGTCCTGGCTCCTTTGCTTCATCATGAGCAGATCATCATCCAAAGGCCTGTGCAGTCTTCACCCCCCAGGAGAGCAGAGGCCACCCTGGACTCTTCTGGCCAGGGTAACATAGCCTATGCAGAGTCGCCGCAGGGACTGGGAAGGCCTGTCTCCTGCCAAGACGTCCTGAGACCTGGCCCACTGTTAGGTTCTTCAAAGGGAAGCCAGCCCTGGCACCCACGCACCAATGCAATCCCAGCTCTGCCACTCACAGCTCAGTTTTCTCATCTGTGAAATGGACTCAGCGAGGGAATGGGAGTTGAATTAAAGATTTCCTTGCAGCTATCTATCACCAGATTCCTCCCTTGTGGTGCACAGTCTTGCCACACAGCTTGGACCTTGGCCAATATTTCTGCCTGGGACATTTTCTTCTTGATATCCTCAGTACTCACTCCTCTCACCTCCCTTAAGTCTTTGCTCATATGTCCCCTTCCCAGAGACACCTACCCAGGCCATCCTTCAAAAAAATTCTAGTGCCCCAGCACCTTTACTTCTTCCTCTGGATTTTCCTCTGTAGCCTTTATCAACTCCTGATATTAGTTTATTTCTTTGTTTATTGTCACCAGGGAAACATGAGTGTCCAAAGACAAGTGGAGGCTTTGCCTGTTTCCCTGAGGGTGTATCCCCAGAGATTAGAAAAGACACCAACACCTGGAAGCCTCTTGATAAATAATTTTTAACTAAAGAGAAAAATAAAATAAGCAAGTATTTTATTGAATACCTATTCTATACTAGTGAACTAGGTAAACCCTACCCATCCACAAGAGCCCATATTCTAGATAAGTAAATATAACCCTGCAGCTGTAGTCAGTGCTACCCAGCAAAGGGACATTGTGAAAGCCTCAAGCAAGGGTGCTGACCCTTGGGGGTAGGAATAGCTACCCTGTAGAAGCAAGGGTTGAGCCCAGATTAGAAGATACAGTTGGGTAGAGAGAGCAAGGAAGAGAGGTCCAATAGAGGGCTAGCACGGGCAAAGGCCCTGGGGTGGAAGGCAGCACAGTAAGAATGAGGGCTGAAGGAGACAGATGTGGCTTATGTGGACTGCTCAGTGAGGAATGTGGTAGAGATGAGAGTGCATCTGTCAGTAGGCCAGGTTTCTGGGAAGTCCTGTAGGCCAGAGTTTGTTCTTTGTCCTCAGAGCTATATTGAAGAGTGTGTGGACAGGGTTAACTAAACCTTTTCCTCTGTTGCATGTGAATTTGACCTTTGGTTAATTGTCAAGCTGTTTCCTGGAAACAGATTTTAAAAAAAAACCAACTATGTCTGCTGTGTTACTGAGCAACATTGTCCATGGTGAAAATGACCCCCGAGGAAGAGGCTAGAATGATCTATACAGCAATTGATTAGAATTGGACACATCAATATGAATTCATGTTTGGCTTAATATAGATGCAGATGATTACATGAGACATATTTATAGACTTTATATAACATGGATTAGTATATGCATATTTATTTCCTTGCTCTGTCAGTTGAGAGGCCTAGAAGCAGTGGTGCTCCATAGCAATGAGCTCACCTCGCACCCAGATCCTGGTTCCCGATGCCAGTAGCCAGCAAGAAGAGCCAGGGCTCCTTGGAGAAATGGGGCATGAAATGTACAAGATGAACCTGGAGCATCTTATAGTGCCAGAAAACAAATGCTAAACACACACACACACACACACACACACACACACACACACACTGATGGGGGTGTGTCAAAGGACATAGGCCAACTAAAAGAAGTTCAATAACTAAAGCTGGAAAAAATAAATGAACCAATACTGGATTGCAACCGGAAGTATGAAACAAATAATCTGTAAGTCAATGCTGATACAAATAACTGAACAAATTAATAAACAAGTGAGGAAAAGAGAGAAATCTCCCATGCGGCATTCCAAATATGTAGATCCTTGGTCCTCAAAGATGGGGACAGCACCTTTACTTCTTCCTCTGGATTTTTCTCTGTAGCCTTTATCAACTCCTGATATATAAGGACCACATAACTCTGTGATCCTTAAGTGTGGGCTGTGCATAGTGACTTCCTTTCCAAGAGTACAGTGTGGAAGGGGGTTGGGGACACCTGACAAACCCTATCTCCTCAACCAGGTGCTCAAGGTCAACATCAACTGTCAAATCACCTTATAGTATGCACCCTTGATGTGATGTGCCGAAGATGGCACTCAGCCTCTGTGACCTTTCTCTCCATGACCCATAACCCCAGGGTAATCATGAGATAAACGCCACTGAGGACCAATTGAATGTCATTGAGGGACATTCAACGATATACCTGACCAGTCCCCTCAAAACTGTCAAGGGCATCAAAACCCAGGAAAGTCTGCAAAACTGTCACAGACAAGAGGAGCCTGCCTAAGGAGACATGACAACTGAATACGGTGCCGTGTCCTCAATGGGACCCCGGAACAGAAAAAGGACAGTAGATAAAACCTAGGGAAATCCAAATAAAATGTGGGCATTAGCTAAGGACAGTGTATCCACATTGGTCCATTCATTGAAACAAATGCGCCACTCTAGTGTAGGGTGCTAATGACCGAGGTCTCTGGGGGTAGGGTACAGGGGACTCTCTGCACTGTTGTCCTGATTTTTTTTTTTTTTTTTTTTTGTAAATCTAAAACTGTTCTGAAAAAAAAATAAAGTTGTCGTTTTTAACAACTGGAGAGAACTATAAATACGCGGTGGGAATTATACTTTGGGCTTCCTGAACTCAGTGACTCATAACTGGACAGGTCTAAAGACGTTGGCTCCCATGGGACTTGAGATGTTAAGCCAGGATGGGGCCTGCTGCTGCCCAGCCCGTAGTCCATCCTGTACCCGGGCAGCGCCCTCTGCTGGGCACAGCAAGGCCTTCCACTTGAGGGAGCACCTGGTGGCCTGGCAGGCTGGCTGAGCTCCCAAGCTGGGGTCTCCCTCTCACATTCTCAGAGTAGGCTAAAACCAGGTGTGGCTTCTGGTCACCTGTTGAGTCTGTGTGTAGTTGAACCTAAGAAGATTCCCTTGTAGACACTGCAGTGGGTGACGAGCTTTAGAGTGATGTGGTCAGGCTGGGCGTGGTGGCACACGCCTCTAATCCCAGCCTCTGAGAAGGCTGAGGCAGGAGGATCGTGAGTTCAAAGCCAGCCTCAGCAACAGCAAGGCGCTAAGCAACTTGGCAAAACCCTGTCTCTAAATAAATTATGAAAAAATGGTGGAGATGTAGCTCAGTGGTTGAGTGCCCCTGGGTTCAATTACTGGTACCAAAAATAAAATAAAATAGTGACTTGGTCATATTTGGATTATGAAAATATTCTCCTGGCTACTCCCAGCTGCAAAGGCACAAGAGAGAAAACAGACTTTGTGGAAGGTTATTTATGGTCATGTTGGCACACGGTCACTCACACGGTCACTCAATTGCATTCGCTGCAATTATATATCTGTGGAGACATTGATCTGTCAGAGAATAGGGTCTGCTTGGAGAACTTTAGAACATCGATTAATACAGAATTTTGCAAAGAATAGTGGTATGTGACATAATTTTATGTGTTATATAGATAAATATGTGCTCCGTTTATCTATTGCCACATAGTAAACCATCCCAGGTGGTTTAGCTTAATAGACATGTGCAGAAAGAGGAGCAGGGGACTCATGTACAGGCACATATAGTCAGGACATTGCCTTACAGTACATTTTGCTGCTCTAACAAAATTCCTGAGCCTGGGTGGTTTATAAAGAGAGAGATTTCTCACAGTTCTAAAGTTGCAAAGTCTAAGGGTGAGACACCATCGTTGGTGTTGGGTGAGGGTTGCTCTCTGCTTTCCAGACTGCACCTTGTTCCGTATCCTCACATGTTGGAAGGCAGAAGGGCCCTGATGTGTTCCCTTCAACCTTGAGCCCTTTTATAAGGGTGCCGATCACTCCCCACAGATCAAGCCTCTTAACAGTGTTACACTGGAGATTAAGTTTCAACAGGACTAAAAAGAAAAAAATAAGTTTCAACACACATTTTATTTATTGTTTTTATACATTTTTTAGTTGTAGATGGACACAATACCTTTACTTTATTTATTGATGTATGTGGTGCTGAGGGTTGAACCCAGGGCCTCACACATGCTAGGCAAGCGCTCTACCACTGAGCCACAACCCCAGCCCTCAACATGCATTTTAGAGACCAAGCAGACACCTTGTGGGTGGAGTTCCCCCAGAAGCAGACTGGAGGGCAGAATCTGAGCACAGGTGGTTTATGTGAAGGTCATCCCAGGAAGCAGAGTGGAGGAACGGCAGAACAAGACCAGGAAGGAAGGAGCTCCAATACGCCACAGGTGCACTGACGGGCAGGTGAGCATCGTGGGCAACTGGGGTC